TGAGAGGTTAGGACAAGTGGTTTCGTAACTTGACTTACATGTTTACAAGCTCATATCTCATTATCTCAACCATACTTGTTTACGGACCTACGCAGTCTCGGTTAAGACTTTCTCTTGAGTCATTAGGCCTTGAGGATCACAACCTGAGATTAAACCTCTGACAACTATGATTTAGGAACCGTATTGCATATAGACGCTAACATACACATATACACATACGCAAAAGTAACAGGACCAGTATGAAATATAATTAATCAAGCCACTATATATCGATCTATCTAGATTTTTAATTTTCTTTTGGTTTAATTGCGTCTATCTAAGAAGTAAGATAGAGCCGGATAGTGTTCTTGGTCTAGTTTTAACATGAGACTTTTACAAGAATGACACCCAGCTCTGATGATGTTCATCATATGATGGACAAAAGCTCATCCCGATTTCACCCAAAACGAGGGAAGAAGTCTCGTGAACTGCGTCAACATGAACATCGCATAAAAGCCAAACGGCTGCAGTACAACGGGATTCATCCGTCCTCTTCTGGTGAGATCGACCAACGAATATCTTCTTCATGCACTTTCATACACTTTTATACGATGTTAGCTAGGGAGGTTCATCTAAACACATTTTCTCTTCGTATCTAATATAACTACTACTGCTACTACTACTGTCAATACCATTAGTGTATTAGACCACTGATACCCTCAGACAAAGAGCACTTGTGAATATCTGAACTCCTTTTAACACCGACCAATCAAATCTCAACACTCTAGCGTGCCTACATTGGGACCAATCAGATTGGGACCAGCCGAATCGATCAGAACCTGGGATTCAAAATCAAGCATATCTTTAAGCGGCAAGTCAAACGAACACTTCGTAAATGCTTTTGCTATCTTGCTACCACCGGTCTTTCGCTCTTTAGTCACGTTTTTTCTCAAGAGTAAATCGGTCTCTAAGCTACATTCTGACATTTTGATTCACCTGGTCTTTCAATCAGTGTATCCGTTTCGCCGTGGGAAACTAGCCGACAAAATCAAGCTATCAGTAAAGATTCTTTTACTGATAGTCGACTTGTAGATACACAAGTCACCATAGCATCGGTCTCTTTATTCTTGCAGGGCAAGTCGTCGAAACATGTCAGACACAATCAGGCCCGCTCTATCTACCCTTGACACTGTCGTTCGATCGGATGCACCGCAGACACACCAAACACACCATTCCACATGGCCTCTCCTTTTTACCTCTGGCCCCTCGAAGAAGAACCGAGTACTCAAGACTTCTGACTACGGTTGAGTCGAGGGCTCAAGCTAGTGGGTCGCCAGACAGGACTTGGCCGCCCTGGGTCTATGCGTTCAGCCGGATTCGTCAAAACGGGGGGTATGGCTGCAAGGGGGCGGACAGTAGACATGAGACATGAATGAGTCTATTAATCACAGGACCTGGCTCGACATGCTGCCATTGTTGGCGCTAATGTGTCTCCCGTGGGAGGTTCACTCAACCCAAATTGACGACAGATGGTCACCTGGTCGTGTTGCTAGGGCCCCGCCTCAAACCTGTTAGATTTGCGCGTGGCCTGTTTACCTTGTTAACCGGTGCCGTGGTCACAAATGCCCACAAATATTTGCACCGAGATACCCAACTGTCAATGTGCCTCATTCTCTCTTGCGGCCTATCACCAACCCGCCAACCAGCCAGCCAGCTGGCCGATTTGCTGTCTACCCATCCATACAGTTATTTCTCCATCTTTCTGTCAACAGTTTTTCCTCCATGTGCGTTTGCCCATAATTACATCTATCTATCAACTAGTGTACATATTTGAGCGTCTATTCCTCTGTAGGTGTGTACGTCATATAAACTGTATCTGCATCACTCTGACTCCCCATATGTACATGCTCACAAATGGATACACAATCTTCTTTGATTACACTTCTCTCCATCCTGTGACAGGCCAAAGGATCCTACACGGCCCTTACGAGCACAGCCAGCAGGGGTGCGCTCTAAGCGGTAGCTAAAGCACACACACACACACACACACACACAAACTCCCTGCTGGTGTGTTTGAGAGTCTTTCTGCCATCCGATCTGGAAGGCTGAGACTGCAAAACGGGCTCCGGTTTCAAAGGTCCTCTTCTGCGCGTTGGAGTTGGCGGAGGGAGAAGGGGGCAGATGACGCAGAAATGGCAAGGGAGTGTCTGTCGTATTGTGTGTACACAAAAAGGGATTGGGTTGAGTTGTTCTTTTCTAGTGACCATGCTTTTCACGTTGCTGATCCGGTCCTTAACAGCTTCGCTTAGCTGGCCTCATGAATTGGGGAACGGAGACTGGATACGAAGCCACTGCAAATGAACAGTTGACTTGGGGGCACTGCAGATAATAGGCGTAGTCCAAATCTCCAGATTTAGCTTCATTATCGGGGCTGAGATTGTGTTTATTTGACATTGTATGGTTTCCGAAATTGAAATGATTTCGTGTCTGTTGAGTCCACTTTTCCTCTCATACCGACTGATAAGCAAGATTATTGAACACTCCAGTGATCATATGGTCAAACAATGTGAGCCCAATTTTCGAAGGGCCGAAAGAGTCCCAGTACAACTGTCGAGACATTTATTCCTAATTCCATCTCATCGACTCACAAGACTCGGTCCAAGAGGAGGCCCAAATGATTGGGAATGTGCTAAATATATTCATAGTTATGGAATGAAGAAGTGGATACTCAGAAGTATGGTCACAAGAAGCCTATGACTTGCCGATTCCAAGTTCTGAGAAGAGGAACTGGAAAAACTAACCAATCAATGTCTTGGAAACAATATTCAGAAGAAGCAATACGACGCAACAAACATATGGTGATGAAGAAAGAACAGATATCATGAAGGGAAAGCAAGTGAAACAGAGGAAAAACGATGTATATGTGAATTGACTCAAAAGTTGACGCCGTTAGTATGGAAATGGAAGATTCGTACAAGCCTGAAGGAAAGGTACTCTGGACTATCACAATGGTTTCTTCCTTCTGTACGTACACATAGGCATGTAGACACTTACTGATGAAAATTGCTATTCAAAGATATCACAATGAACTAGCCAAATCTTCCAAAGACTGTCCTTGGTTGGGTTGATTTGTAGGTATGCTCAGAAAGGAAAGACTAGTTAGGAAGTTTTTATTAAATTATTCTAATATGAGATATTTCACCCTATTTCGTTTAAGGTGATATAGGACTGGTAGTAGAATTTTCCCACAATGATATAAGTAGATCTGACATTTCCATTAAATTTCACATTGCCTTGCTTTCCCAAAAGTTGTTCTCATCCAGGCACCAGTGGACTGCAGTTTCGACCTCGCATTGGTCTTATCAACACCCCAAGCGATAATCAAACCGTGACAGTGCAGAATGGGAGCTTGACACGTCAACCACTCGACCAT